TCTCACCATGATGGCAAGCTTGGACGCTGTGGTTACCACTCTCACCACCATGGCAAGCTTGGGTGCTGTGGTTACCGCTCTCACCATGATGGCAAGCTTGGGCGCTGTGGTTACCGCTCTCACCATGATGGCAAGCTTGGGTGCTGTGGTTACCACTCTCACCACCATGGCAAGCTTGGGCACTGTGGTTACCACTCTCACCATCGTGGCTAGCCTGGGTGCTGTGGTTACCTTTCTCACCACCATGGCAAACTTGGGCACTGTGGTTACCGCTCTCACCATGATGGCAAGCTTGGGCGCTGTGGTTACCGCTCTCACCATCGTGGCTAGCCTGGGTGCTGTGGTTACCGCTCTCACCATCGTAGCAAACTTGGGCCCTGTGTTTACCACTCTCACCATGATGGCAAGCTTGGGCGCTGTGGTTACCGCTCTCACCATCGTAGCAAACTTGGGCGCTGTGGTTACCTGTCAGCCTAAGAGAGAACAATGACCTGTTCTTGCCCTGTGTCGTCAGCACGATGTTCCTGCAGCTTTGTTAGCGAGGAGAGTCTTCCTGTTGTGGTGACAGGTCAGCTGTGACTCACTCCAGCCGGCTCTCCCCTGGACAAAGGCGCTGCATTGACTGCAGCCTGGGGCCCAGCTTTTCTGAGCTTTGTGCTAAGAAAGGCCCTTTCAAGGTCGGCCAGGGAGCTCTGGCTTCTTTTACGCCTTCCATCCACCCTGATGAAACAAACATGTCACAGACATTTATTTACTTTGGTGCGTGACTCACGGGGACAGTGGTTTCTTCAGATGATTTACGTGAAATCTTCACTGTGATTTGTTTTCACATTTGTTTAGGGAGTTGGAAGCCAAAAGCTTGAGAGTTTTCTCCTGTTTCTGTTTCCCAGGACCAGTTGATGGACTCACTCCCTCTGTGCATGGAAGGTGTCCCTTGTCCCCAGGACCATGTGAAGCCTGCTGACCACTGACCCCTCAGAGCAGACACTCCTGAGGTAAATCCAGCCACCCCGGCTTGTGGTTCCTGCCAGGGGTTAGACTGTGATTAAGGGAATGAAGTGAGGTTTATGGGTGGATTCTGGTGATGGGGGGCTTGGAATGTTTGATAACCACCACCAACACAGAGTCAGCGTGTTTGACTTTTGTTTTGTGACTGTCTGGTTTTAAATATTAACAAACAAACCAAAGCTCGCTAAATATATTTGGGGGCCTAATTGAAATCACCCCCTTCAGCTGCTGAAAATATTGGGAAGGTGGTTGGAATGGAAAATGAAGGGGTGTAGTTTGGATCAAAACGCCCCCTTAAGTTTGGCTTAACCTAGTAGGTTCATTGAGGGAGCTCATTCAGGTTTTATGAGAAAGGAGCCTTGGTGGTGTGGTGGGTTAAGAATTTGGGCTGCTACCTGAGAGGTCAGTGGTTCAAGCCCACCAGCAGCTCTGCAGGAGCCAGATGCCACGGTGGACTCTGTGAGGATTCCAGCCTCAGTGGACGCTCTTCTCTGCTTGCAGGACCCCTCTGAGTCAGCAGAGCCCTGATTTTGAAGGAACTGATTTTGGCTTTTTGGGTGTGGAGTTTGGGTGTGGAGTATCTTTTTTTGATAACTACCTTCTAACATTTTTACTTGTGACCATTTTCTTTCATCGTCTTCTAAAGCAAGGGTTCTCAGAGTCTTTCGAAAAGCTCAGCTTGTCCGTTTTGTTGAGATTTTTTTTTTCTTTCTTCCTCCCTCACAGCCTGATTTTTGAGGCATTCTTAGTCTTGTCTTTGATGCTATTCCTTCTCTGTGTGGCCCGTGAAAGTCGTGTCATGAACGTGGCATATGTTGAGCACTACTTTCTGGTTTGGGATGACAGATCAACTCTGGTCATAAGTGAATAAGGGGAAGTGTTCTCCCTGAAGACGGGAAACAGTCTCCGGCGGGCACATGTGGTTCTTGTAGCTCAAAGGTTGGAGGTTTGAGTTCACCCACAGGTTCCCTGGAAGAAAGGCCTGGTTTTCTCTTTTCTAAAACCCAGCAATTGAAAACTTTCTAGAATACAACTTGCCGATATACAGAATATCCCCATGAATCAGAATCTACTTAATGGCAACATTTTATTCAATAACTAGAGTGATGGTGAAGAGATTGAGCTAGTTAACAGTTTTAGTTTACTTGGCTCCACAGTCAACACTCTTGGTACCAGCAGCCAGAAAATCAAGAGATGAATTGCATTGGGAAAGTCAGCTGTGAGGGACCTCTCAAAAGTACTGAAGAGCAATGACATCAGGCTGGAGACTAAGGTGTGCCTGTTCTGGGCAATAGTCTTCGCAATTACCTGCCACACATCAGAGAGTTAGACAGTGAATAGGGATGATAGAAAGAGAATTGATGCCTTTGAGCTGTGGTGCTGGAGAAGAGTATTGCATATACCATGGACTGCTAGCAGAACAAACAGCTTTGTCCTGGAGAGGGTGAAGCCTGAATGCTCCTTGGAGTCAAGAATTCCGAAGCTTCATCTGACATACTTTGGGCATGTTGCAAGGAGGGCCCAGTCCTTGGAGAGGGACATAATGTTTGGGAGGGTAGGGGGACAGCGCAGGAGGGGAAGACCCTCAGTGGGATGGATCGATTCTGTGATTGGGATAGTGGGAATAAGTGTGTCGGAGACGGTGAGGTTGGCACAGGATAGAGCAGCATTTAGGGCTCTTGTACATAGGGTCGCTATGAGTCACAAGTGACTAAACGGCACATCACAACAACAGCGAAGAGTTTATTTGGACTGGTAAAGATTTCTTTTCTTCATTTCTCTTTAAGAACTACTAGGTTAAGACAGTCTTGGAAGCAGGAGTAGCATCCACTTCCTAAACATGCCTGTGGAAAACGTTACGAACTTAGAGAAAGGACAATAGTTACAGAACAGGGTTAAGGTCTTTTGTTTATAGGATCGCTACTAGATGGCACCTCTCAACAACAACAACAACAACAACAACAACAACAAATGACTGCCAGGGCCTTATCTTCATTTTGTAGTTGGGTGAAGTAGCTGGACTCTCTATGATGTGATCTGTGTGGATTGTTTGGTTGTTTTTTAATTTAAGCCTCTTGTTTAAGAGTCAACTAGATCTCCTGGAGGGCACTTGCATTTAAGGCCAAGCCCTTGTCTTCATTTTGGAGACTGGGTGAAGCAACACGACTCTATAAAGTGGACTCTCTGGGTTTGGTTGAGGGTTGGTGTGGTATTTTTGATTGTGGTTTTTTGTTTTGTTTTGTTTTCAAGTTTTTTATTTAAGCCTCTTGTTTAGAGTCAACAAGACCTCCTGGAGTTCCCTTGTATTTGAAAGTTGGGCCCAGAGAGATTATATTTTAATCCCTGGTTACTATCTTTTGGAGGAATTTTCTTCAAAGTCATATAGCACTTTTGTCAATTTGCTGTACTGAGGTAATCTGGGTTTGCTGTGACACGGAACCTTGTGCCATTGGGGTCTTAAATACCATAATGGAACAACTGTGCCATAGGTGTGTCAAGCACCATAATGGCTACCCGTCTTGGCAGTGTTTGGTGGAGCTCCCAGATTGATTCAGGCTTGGAAGCAGGAGTGGCATCCACTTCCTACACCACATGCCTCTGGAAACTCTACAAACCTTGAGAAATGACAGTTGTTTTATAGAAAGGCTTCAGGCCTGGGGAGCTTTGGTGGCCTAGTGGCAAGAGGCTGCACTGCAATCTCAGAGATATGTGGTTCGAGTCCACCAGATGCTCTGCCGGAGAAGGAGGGCCAATTTCCTCCTGTACCAGTCAGATCAGATTTGACGGTACACACACACAAAATAATAAAGTTAAAAAAAAAAAGGCTTCAGGCCTTTTGTTCATAGGGTTGCTATGAGTAGTGCTCGACTCGACTACGATCAACAACAAAACAACACAACAGTTCTCAGCACTAAGAGAGAGCTCTGGAGAGTAACCAGTAAAGAGCTTCACTGCCAACCCAAAGTCATGCGGTTCAAATCCTCCAGCTGCTTCGCAAGAGAAACGTGGGCAGTCTCCTCCCATGTGATTTACAGTCTGTGAAAAGTGAGTCACTTCTGTCTCAACAGTGTCTAACAACAGCTGTTCTAAGTACTAGTTCAGGGGGTCCTGGGTACCTAGTTTGAAAGGAGTTGCTCTGCCAACCCAGAGGCAGGTGGTTCAAACCTACCTGCTGCCCCTAGAGAAAGATGGACCGTCTCCTTCCGTGAGATATACAGCCTCTGAAATACCCACTGGAGCGTCCGCTCTGAGTTATTCAGAGGGCACATAGCAATAGAGACTTCTCTAAGCCCAGGGCCATCTGAGGTGTGGTCTGTAGTGCTCTGTGCTGCCAACTCAAACGTCGTACTTCTCTAGTGGCTTCAATCTACTAGAGGCTCTGCAGAAGGAAGGTGAAAGATCTCCTGGCCTCAAAAACCTGCTGGAGGGATGGTCAGGAGGGGGCTCTGACTCAGTGCCAGGGATAGAAAGCGAGACAGAGAGAGTTCTAAGCCACCAAGGCTTGGGGAAGCCTATCCCTTTCACTGATTTTGTTCCTCCCCACTATCTAAACTAACATTGTCCAAAAAAAAGTGGCTGTTGGCTGTTGTGTACCCTGAAGTCAGAACTGACCCACAGCTGACCCTGCAGCAAAGTTTCAGAGGCAGTAAATCCCTTGGGAGGAGATTGCCCGTTTCTCTCCCACAGAGCTACGGGTGGACTTGAACCTCATGCTTTTGAGTTGGAAGCGCGCCTCCTTGCCACTAAGCTGAAAGCAATGGGTTCAGCTCCCTAACAGCCTGTGTGTCGTGTCACCTGTCTGACAGTGCTTGCCTGCAAGAACTAACGTCACAGTCACTACTGAGCCTGCTCTTGGAGCCGAGTCCGACACAGAGAGGGGGGCTACCCGGCTGTGCTGGTTTGCATCACGTAGAACATTTTGTTTTTAGAAAGTCCAGCCCTGGTGGAATGTGAGGTCACGGCTCTTACTGATGCAGCTGTTCTTGTTCTAGGTTCAGATGGGGAACTCCGAGAGTCAGTACACCGTCCAGGGGCCCAGGAGCCTCGGCAGCCCCGGGGCGGGGCCCAAGCCCTGCTCGCTCAAGATTCGTAGCATTCACGCCAAGGACGACAAGTCACCGCACTGCTGGGCCCATGGGGGCGCAGGGACGAGCTACAAGTCCCGGTCCCTGGCCCGCAGCTGCCTCTCCCACTTCAAGAGCAACCCCCCTTACGCCTCCAGACTTGGGGGCCCCACCAGCAAGACAGTCAAAGGTGGGAGCCACGCCAAGAACCGGGCTGGTGTCTCCGGGGTGGAGCCCCAGGGGGGTAGTGTCACTGTCACCGTCCCCCCAGAGAATGGCTTCCACTGTGGCGGCCCCCAGCCCACAGAGAAGGCCCTGACCCCTGCAGGCTGCAATGGTCATCTGTTAAACTGCAATGGGAAGGCCACCATGTGTCCCCCAGCCACCGAGGGCCAACGGAGCCCCAAGGTGCTCATCCGGACGCTGGGGAAGCTGGACGGACGTCTGCGGGTGGAGTTCCACAATGGAGCCCACCGTGCCAAGGTGCCCCCCGAGGACTGCAGGGCCCCCGTGCAGCTGCTCAGGTACTCGCCCACCCTGGACACGGATGCCTGTCCCGGGCCCGACGGTGACAGTGGGGACAGTGCCCAGTGCTCGGCTGGCCACTGCGTGTCCCCTGCCCCGTCCTGCCCACGCTCCAGTAAAGGCAGCTCCCTGAGCTCCGAGTCCTCCTGGTACGATGCCCCGTGGGGCATCACCGGTGACACCAGCGAGCTGGAGGGCTCCCTCCTGGGCCTCGTCACCCCTGAGCCTGGCCTGCACCCTGGCTTCCCACCCAGCGACGCCAAGAAGCCCTTCACCCAGAGCGCATCCCTGTCCTCTCTGCGGGAGCTGGACCGGGGAGCCCCTCGCATGGGTCTGACCCCATCGGGGGTCCAGTGCTCCAGTGAGTCCCTCGGGGCCCACGCCGGCCTGAGCACCCGGGTGTCCTTCTCCTCTGACATGGACGTGCCCTCCCGGGTGGAGCACAGGGACCCCAGGCAGTACGGCTCCTTCACCCTCCCCTGTCGCAAGCCCAGGCCCTTCCCCGAGGACACAGCCAAGAAGGACACCCTGAAATCCCGCATGCGGCGTATCAGCGACTGGACGGGGAGCCTCTCTCGCAAGAAGAGGAAACTGCAGGTGGGTAGATGTGGAGCCTGCGGTATGGCCGCGGGCTTCTGTCAGGGTGCCCCCCATTCCCCCAAACTCACTGTAGCTGAGCACGTTTGGTCTCACAGTGACCCTGTGGGACCGAGTGGATCAGCTCTATAAGGTTTCCAAGGCTGGACCCTGGAAAGAACAGCCAGCCACACCTTCCCTCTGCAGCGGGCCTGCCGGGCTTGACCTATGTGGTTCGAATCCAGCTCGTTCACAGGTGAAGGAGGAGCTGTCAGTTTCTGTGCAGTTCGTAGGCTCTGCCGGTGGAGGGTCAGCCATGAGTCGGTTCTGACTCGATGGCACATGACCACAATGAACCACCTGTCAGTGAGAAGCTGCGTGTTTCAGCTACTGCACCCCCAGAGCGCCTGAGAAACCAAAGGGTCACTTCCCCCCAAGAGGGTTACTGTCAGGGGGAATCGGCCCCATACCAGTGGAGCTTTCCCTCTTGATAAGACTTTCTGTGGATCTCTGGTGGCCTAACAGTAATAAACTGTGCTGCAATCCCAAAGACAGGTGGTTCAAGTCTTCCAGCCTCTCTGAGGGAGAAGGATGGGCAGTCTCTTCCCAGGCGATGTGAAGACCCACTGGAGGGTCAGTTATGAGTCAGTTCCAACTCAGCAGCACACAGCAACATCTGTGGTTTAGCATGTGAGAGCTGGCAGGCTAGCAGTTCGAACCCCCCAGCAGCTCTGTAGAAGGAAGACAGACTTGGGGATCCATTGCCATAACAACTCAAGGCTACAAAACCCAGTGGGTTGGTTCTTCTCTGTCAGGTAAGGTAGCTAAGAGATGAACTGACTTGACCACATGCAGTGATACTATCTATCAGTGGAGAAGCCTCCTGAGTTCAGCAGCTCACCCAAGGTTGGTGGTTAGAACCCACCTTTTGCTCTTGGCGGGACAGGCCTGGTACTTGCTCCTGTCAGGATCCCTCCCTAGAAAGTCCGTTCTGGGAGCAGTTCTGCTCTGTCACATGGGGTCACGTGAGCTGATAGCACATAAGAAAATAGTCAGTGCTGTATCAATATAAAGACCACGCTGCCTTTGCGTGTGGAGAGCTAATCTAATGCATTTTTTAAAATAAATTTTTTATTGTATTTTATTACTTTTGTGTGTGTACCGTCACATCGGATCTGACAGGTACAGGAGGAGATTGCCCCTCCTTTTCCTGCAGAGCATCTGGTGGATTCGAACCACGTACCTCTGGGATTGCAGTGCAGCTTCTTACCACTAGGCCACCAGAGCTCCCTAATCGAATGCATTTTTTAAAACAACTTATACCTGCATATGTGAAATTGTAAAAAAAATATGTTGATGATAAAATAAGAATCACCATGATAGTAATTTTATGGTGCATAAAATTCTAGTGGAGAGGAGGGGGCAGTGGCCTGCAGTTTTGGGTGCCTAGTGGCATCGCTCGTAGTGTGCTACGGGGCTAATCCAAAGGTGGTGTGTTTCTGGCCGTTTTAAGTCCACCAGCCGCGTGGTGGAGGAAGAGGGTCATCTCCCTTTAGGAGTTTGTTCAGTTGTTAGCTGCTGTTGAGTTGACTTCCAGTTGAAACAGCTCTGTGACCATGAGAGCTGACCCTTGCCCTGTCTGTCCACTGTCCTCACAGCCTCTGAGGTGCATGATTAATTTTTACAGTCCCTGTGCCAGGCCATGTTGGTGAGGTTCTTCTTCTCTTTCTCTGACCCATCACCTTTTCTAGCAAGACACAGCCTTGGAAGCGCAATCCTGGGTCACTGAGGGCTGAAATGACAATGAGTTTTGACTGAGAGACAGTAGCTAGGTTTTTATCCTTCCATCCTGCCTGCCTGCTTTGTTCCCTCTTCTCTCCATCCCTTCCTCCCTCCCACCCTTCCACCCATCCACCCATCATGCAGTTGAACTGAATTCAGATAGGCAGTTCGTTGCTGGCAGAGTTGCCTTGCAACCGTCTCCGCCGGACAGTGTAAGGGAGCTCTGTGGTGTTGTCCGTAGGGAGTTTCACTGCTGACCTAAAGGTGGGGCTTCTCTGATAATTTGAGTTCACCAGTGACTCTGAGGGGAAAAGATGGGCAGTCTCCTCCTGTGACGTTTATTTACAGCCTCTGAAAATGCACTGGAAGGTCACCTATGAGTCTGTTCTAACTCAGTGGCATTGAGTGTTTATAGACAAACAAAATTTCATAGACTTAGAAAGGAAATACTTCATTTACTTGGAGCTCTAGTGGCAACCCCCGCCCCCTACACTGCAATCCTAAAGGTATGAGGTTCGAGGCCACCAGCTGCTCTGTGGGAGAAGGATGGGCAATCTCCTCCCATGTGATTAACAGCCTCTAAAAAGCCCACCAGAGGGTCAGCTAGGGGTCGGTTCTGACTCAGCGGTGCACAACAACAGCAATGACATCAGCTTGCGGAGGTTAATCCAGAGTTGATAACGTTTTCTGTAGGCAGTGGTTCCTTCTCGTGTGTCATGCACATCCTTCCGCCTCCACCCCCACGATTTGCATCTTGACTCCATCCTGGAGCCTCTGCTGACTCCTTCGTTATTCCTGCTTCCAGTCGAGATTCCCAGGACCTTTCCTCTCGCTTCCTACTCCTAAATGGAATGGAATGGAGCTTCAGTGGAAGAAACACCTCCTGCTCTGGGCTTTAGTCCCAGGAGTCCTGAATCCCAGCTTACAGAGGAACGGGCCTCATCTGTGTGAGGTCTGACCTACTCACAGCTCTATGCCATTCTGTTCCATTTCTGCTCGTTCCAAAGCTGGATCCCTAACCTCTGTGCATGAACCACTGTCTGTGTCATCCTGTGGACTGCCTCTGGCAGCTCCAGCACTTGACCCTGGAGATGTAGCTGCATGCAGACTTACAGCCAGTTAGGACCCAAGAAGAGGATTCTAACACTAGGAACAATGAGGAAAGTCAAGTTTAAGGGATTTAAGGGTCCTTTGGAAAGACTCATGGATAGGTAGTGGAGAAATCAAGATCACAGGCATGTTTGCTTAACTTTACACACATTCCTTTTTCTTTCTTTCCTTTTCAAATGTGTGTGAACAGACACACACACACACACACACACACACACAAGCAAACAAACAAACAAAAAACAATGCACACACAACAAAAACAAACCTGCACCACTTCAATTTCTGCCTTTAGGATTCAGCGGTATTGGTTACATTTCTTCCCGTTTTTGTCACTTTGCTTATTCACCATCATTACCACAAAGTCACTGTCCACACACCCACCCGCACGCCTCTCATCTGACTGTCATTTTGAGTTGCCATAGTCAGTTTATCATAGAAAATTCTTTAAAAGAGCTGCTGAATGCAGACGTCCTTCTCCACTTAGGTGTGTAGATTTGACTCACAGTTTAAAGATTTCCTGAGGGTAATATTGCCAGGGGGTCCTCTGGGCTGAGTGCCTTCCGAAAGTCTGGATTCCAAGAGGCTCAAGCACATGCTTTCCACCCTTAGTCAGTGATGACATCAGGATTACAGAGCATGAGGATTGTACATCTTTTTATATTTTCACAAAATAACCTATGAAAACATCGTAGTTTTGCTAGAACTGATAACTCTAAATGTGAACGAAATTTTCTGGTAAATTTGCCACTTTGGCCTTGTTTTGGTTTACGTGATTTATGGAAAACATCAAGTTTCTGTTCTTAAAAAATGTTATCAGCACATGGATGCAAAGTTGCTGATCGTGTAGGCTCTCAAAACCCGCAATCTCACAAACATGAACTCCCGTTTGCCGGTGGGACGATGTTCAGGAAGTCTTACCACAATGGAGGGACTGTTTTAGCTTTTTAGATTTGTGATAGGAGAAGAAACTCAAAACTCACACTGCTTGCTGTTGAGTTTGAACTAACTCATAGCTGACTCTCTCTTGGGTTTCTGAGGCTACAAACCTCCTGGGAGGAGATTGCTTGTCTGTCTTCCTTGTGACCACTGGTGGTTTCGAACCAGCTGAGAGGCGCAACTTTTGCGTTAGCAACATAGTCCTCTGTTGATTATGCAACCAGAGCCAACAGATATAAGAGCTGCTTTGTTTTTTTACAGGGCCTCCAGTAACCCTAGAAAATGACAGCCTGAGAGCTGACACACCAGTGAAAAACCAAACACAACTGAAATGTCACTTTGCTCTAAAATATACAAGACCATGTGGTGGAGAAACATGCATGTTTTGTGCAGAGAAATTCTGCATGTGGCCTTGAATGGTAGTGAGATGTGTGAGGGCTAATCCTTCCTGGGCAGATTTTCAGTGTTTTCAGTCAGGATAGGCTAGGCTATGCTGAGGTAACAAAACCCTTCCGTCTCAGAGGCTGGGGTGAACAGAAGTTTATATCTGACTTGTTCTGCATGTTCAGCCTTTTTCTTCGTACCTAGCTTGTTCTCCCTCTGGGACCCCAGGCTGATGCAGTGATTACCCTCTGGGACAACGTAAACCACTGTAGAGGAGAAAAAAGCAGCTCGTGTGTTGATTTCTAAAGCTTCCTCTCAGAAGCGATACACTTCCCTTCCTACATATATTGACCACAAGTCATGTGATCGTCCTTCCCTCCAAGGGAGGAGCGGGTGGTGAAGTGAGCCCACCATGTGTCTGAGAGATCAGGCGTGCTTCTGGGTAACCCCACAGAACAGATTTAGAGCAGCCCTAAAACCCCACTGCCTTTGAAGTGATTTTGACTCATAGTGACCCCGCAGGATAGGGAAGAAGTGCCACATAGTGTTTCTAACCAACTTTTTGGTTACCATTACAGCACTTAGTCACCGCACCTCTGGGCCTGCCTGAGTTAGCACACTGACAGCTCGAATTTCTGGTCTATGTGAACTTGAAAACCCTCTCTGCTTTTGGAGGGCCACCTTACTGCGGAGGACTTTAACAGAACAGTAGTGGTTCTCCCTCTGAGACGAAATAAAAATGGCTTGTGAGGCATGACGAGGCATGAGTTTGGCACTTTTCCCTGGAGAGGTAGATGTGTGGTCCCTTTACTGTTGACTCCTGGGAACTGAGTCACAGGTTCTTTGATGTTTTCATCAAGTTCCCTTAGCTGCTCCTTGTGGTAGGCCGAGTGGGGCAATGGGAGTGCCTGGCACGGGGCGTATAGATGTTGAGGCCTTACTCCCACACCCGGTACACTAGCCGATCCTAGTCACATAACAAAATGTTTACTTCTTTTCGAAAGGCCTTTCCTGCTAACATGAAAATTAGTCATTGGCTTTTATGCTTCTGTGTAGAAAATGCTAGAAATTTATTAATGACTAGGAAGGTTCACGTCTATGCAAAAGAATCAGTACTCGACCCCCTTTGCTCAATTTTTAGCCTAGCAAGAGGTCTGTAAAGTGAACAGGAGCACCAGAGGGTTACACAGTACTTAGAAAAACCATACAAGATCAAAAGAGCAGCAGTGGCTCAGGGAGAAAGCTCAGAGGCAGAAGGAAGCGGCAGTAGGACAAATGGAAATGGGAAATGAGAGGGCTTGTAACAGTGTGAGGATTGCAGTCAAGGTCACAGAACACAATGTGTGTGAACTGTTCAATGGAAAACCAGTTGGCTCTGTAAACTTCCACCCAAATCACAATAATACAGTAATTTAAAAAAAGAAAGAATCAGGGCTTATTGCCTAAATGCAACTTTTTCTTATTTTATGAGGAGGAAACCCCTGCTTGCTTTGTTCAGGTTGACCATTGGAAAGCAAGCTCTGCAGCTTGAAATCCCTGTTTTTGTAGGAACAAGGTAAAGACCGGGTAGGGGTCCCGTCTGGTGAGTGTGGACGTCCTTTCTCTGGCGTTGGCTTGTCTGTTTTGAGCTGGGCCCATGTGACCCTTGCCGGGCACTAGAGGTAATCCCAGTGTGACTGGGCTGTGAGTCACAGAGTGCTAGCCATTGCTGTAACCAAGCTAATGCTAGCAGAACGAGATGGATGCCCTCACCACCGCTGGGTTTCTGAGGAGACACACAAAGGGAGAATTTAAAAAAAACAAACACAAAAATCCAGCCCTCAAATGGTTTTACATTTCCCGTCTATGTGAGTCACTTGCTGGCTTGTTTACTCTGCTAGTGCATAAGCATTAGGGTATAAATAAACTTCACGGTGGGACGCAGTGTGAACACGTGGGAAATACTATTTTCATTAGTAATTGCTGTGCTGAGGCTCAACTGTTGATCACCCCTGGGTACTTGGAAGCTAGCTGCATGCAGTTGGCTGTTTCCCTGTAAAATGCAGTGAGTAATCACTACTTGAATTCTTAATGAAATTTCAACACACACACTATCCCAAACAACAAGAAGCAGCCAACCCTCCAGAGTGGAAATCCAAAACATGGCCATGAATCAGGGGTCTTTAACCCATTTCCCTTTTTATTTTAACAGACAAGGGAGTAGCACTGGTGAAACTGGAGGATAAAACATTTTCAAGTGTGTTAAGCACGTTCACGTTAAGGTTTAATTTGGAATATCAGTGTGTTAGAGCCTCGCTGAGGTTACTTCTGCTGAATGCATTTATTGTTGTTGTGTGCCATCGAGTTGGAATTGGCCTGTAATTGACCTTCTAACTGGTTTTCAGAGGCAGTAAATCCCATGGGAAGAGATTTCACATCTTGTTCCTCTGGAGCAGCAGGTGGATTTGAACCACATGCCTTCGGGTTGGCAGCACAGCTCCTTACCATTAAGCCAGCAGAGCTCACTGAATGCATCGAGTTCCTGCTGTTGATCAACATAGCGCCTACACAAAATCTATTATTCTTGACGCTTAGCCTTCTAATCCATGCTCCAGAGAAGACCTCAGTGCATGGTCAGCTCAGCGCTCCGTGTGTTTTCATTCTAAGAGTGGGCTAGCAGCTCATATAAAAATATTCATTTTATTTAAAGCTGACTGTGTCTGACTTACGAACCCCTTGGTACAGTGGTTAAGGACCTGGCTACTAACTTAAATGTCAGTGGTTCAAATCTACTAGCTCATGCTTAAAAGAAATACATTCCATATGAGCCAGCTATTCCACTACTGGGAATATAGGCTGAGGAAAACAAAACTGCTCCACAAACAGAGATTTGTATGCTGGTGTTCATAGCTGTGCTATTCACAATAGCAAGAACATAGAAACAGCCAAAATGTCCATCAATAAATGGATGGATTGAGAAATTGTGGTACGTTTACACAATGGAATACTATGCAGCAGTGCTTTTGAAAAATACTGTATAAAGTAGAAGAGGCTGGAGAGCGTTATGCTGAGTGAACTCAGTCTCATAAACAAATACTGCATAAGATCATTGTTAAAAAGAGAAGAATAACGTAAGATGTGTACTAAAGTCCTAAGGGGGAAGGGAGGGAAGAGGGGACACTCTCGAGGGAGCAGCGATTGGTGGAAAGAGCGAGGGCGTGAAGGACTTGGGAAAGATCCACTGGGGACCTGAAAACGTGGCCTAATGATAGGCACAGATCAGTGGTGATTACTTTTATAAAACACAGTGTATGAGAATGAAATATGAAACAGTGTAAATAGAGGAATATATGAAGCACAGTGTATATAAATGAGTCACATTGTATATGACTTTTGTATCTAAACCAGTGTTGTTGTTGTTATGTGCCATAGAGTCAGAGTCGCTTGGGACTCATAGTGACCCTAAGTACAACAGCCCTAAACCCTGCTCTGTCCTCTGCCAATCACACTGCCTCTGACACTCCGATCCTGATTACCCCAGTCACTGAATCAATCCACCTCATAGAGGGCCTTCCCCTCCTGCACTGTCCTTCCACTCTCCCAAGCATGATGTCCCATTCCAAGGACCTGTCCCTCCTTACAGCATGTTCACAGTATGTCAGACAAAGCCCCAGAATCCTTCCCTCCAAGGAGCAGCCTGGTTTAACCCTCTCCAAGATTAATCTGTTTGTTTTCTTGGCAGTCCATGGTATTCTCAATACTCTTCTTCAGCACCACAGCTCAAAGGCATCAATTCTCCTTCTATCCTTCATAGTCATTGTCCAGCTCTCTGATGCATAGCAAGTGATTGCAAAGACCATGGCCTCTATCAAACACACCTTAGTCTCCAGAGTGACACCATTGCTCTTGATTATATCTCAATGCCAAAAACAATACCAGCAAAAAGCAAGCTGTAACAATTGGCTTCGGCAGGGCTCCAGCCCACCCACTGCCATCAATTGTGACTCATAATTTCCCATAGAATAGAATAGGACTGTAGAATCTAGCTTGTCATTATTCACACTCAAGGCCATCGAATTGATTGCAACGCACAATGACCCTCCAGGACAGAGTAGAACTGCCCCATCTGCTTTGTGAGGCTCTAAATCTTAGCAGGAGCAGCTGGTGGATCTGAACCACCAGCCTTTGAGTTGACAGCCCAACGCATCGTAGCCTTCATGCCTCCAGGGCCCCTGGCATCATCCCTAGGAAGGAGCACCATTGCATGCAGGCTGGGGCCAGGCAGGGGCAGGATGCGGGCCTCGGGAGCCTTTGATGCATGGTGATTGTGTTGTTCACAGGAACCTCGATCCAAGGAGGGCAGCGACTACTTTGACAGCCACGCCGAGGGCCTGAACGCCCAGACGCCCTCCCAGCTGCCCTCCATGGCATTGCTGTGGTCAGCGGGCTCTGTGCAGGCCCTGCCCCAGAGGAGCGAGTCCACCGGCGCCATCGGCAGTGACCCCCTGCGGCAGAACATTTACGAGAATTTCATGCGGGAGCTGGAAATGAGCAGGCCGGCCACGGAGACCCTGGAGACGTCCACCGAGACGGCCGAGTCCAGCAGCGAGTCCCTCAGCTCCCTGGAGCAGCTGGACCTCCTGTTCGAGAAGGAGCAGGGCGTGGTCCGCAAAGCTGGCTGGCTCTTCTTCAAGCCGCTCGTCACTTTGCAGAAGGAAAGGAGGCTGGAGCTGGTGGCCCGGAAGAAGTGGAGGCAGTACTGGGTGACGCTCAAAGGTAAGTGTCAGTGTCTCTCTGGGTCCCCAGGGGTCCTGGGAGACAGTTCTTTTTTTTTTTTTGGAGACAGTTCTGAGGCCCCAGTTTCGTCTAGAGAATCTAGGTTCTGCCGACGAACCTGCAGCAATTCTTGTTAATGTGTTGCTGTTGTGTACTTGTTGGGTCAGAACCGACCCATTGCCGGCCTTCCAGTGGGTTTTCAAAGATAGTAGATCTGACTCATGGGAGGAGATTACCCATCCTTCTCCCGTGCAGCTACAGGTGGATTCCAACCATGAACCTTTGGGTTGACAGCGCACCTTCTTACCCCTAAGGCCACCAGAGCTCCCAGGTGCTAATATGAAGGGCCTTGTAAAGAGTCCTGTGACATAAATAAAAACACAAACCCTTTGCCTTCGGGTGGATTGTGACCGATGGTGACCCTGTGGCAGAGTAGAGCGGACAGGTGATACCTCCAGGGCTCTGTCTTTAGGGAGCAGGAGTCTTCCTCTGCCTGCATAGCTGGTGGGTTTGAACCACTGACCTTTAGCAGCCCAGTGTCTGACCACTGCAGTACCAGGGCACCTCTTTTTTAAATTTCTGTTTTGTTTTTATTGACATTGTGTTTCATACAATCATCCCCATACGTTCTGTCTTACCCAGTGAATCACAGTAAATCTATGCTCTCGTTTACCCCGTCATTTCAGATCCCCACTGGATCGTTGCTAATTCCTTCACCCCCTCCCTCCACCCACCAAACTCTGCCCCCCCCTCTCTTTTTTTTAGGGCTCCTCTCTTACGGTGTTAACCACAAAGGCTTTGTCAAGTAGCAATCATATCTCGACTGAGTGCTTATATATGTAGAATTCATTTTAGTGACTGATGATTGCATTTAACTGTCATTAGTTGAGAAGGTTTTAAGGGACCCAGTGGCACAGTGGTTAAGTGTACAGCTGCCAGGGGTTCAAACCTACTAGCTGTTCTGAGAGAGAAGGGGCTGTTTCCTTTATAGACTCGGGACGCCTGTGGGGCGGTTCCACTCTGTCCTGCAGGTTTGCTGAGGGTCAGAACCGATGTGGTGATACTGGGCTTAATCCCAGCTCTGTGGTCTCACTCCCAGCAATCGAGTCTGTTCTGACTCTCAGGGAGTCTCCTGCACTGGATTTCTGAGCTGTAAATCACAAGGAGGGGAAACTGCCCATCTTTGTCCTGACTCGCTGCCTGTGGGTTGGAACTGCCTTTGGGTTAGGGCTGCAATTGGCTCTAGTCTAGATGTTCTCATAGCAAACAGACAGAGGCTGCTATAGCAGGAGCGGCATCCACCTCCGAAAGAGCTTGGCTACGAAGAAACGATGAAAGTTATACAAGGGTTCAGGTCTTTCATTCATAGGGTCGCTATGAGTCATCTACAACTTGACAGTACTTAACAACAACATGTTTTAATTGTAAAGGAAATGAAAGTGAGTCCAAATAATTACATTTGCTTTATTAAGAAAATACAAGCTTTCAAAACAACTATATCATCTCACCCCAGTAAGAATAGCAAAATTTAACAGAACAGGAAACAACAAATGCTGGTGAGGTTGTGGAGAAACTGGAACCCTTAGTCACTGCTGATGGGAGTGTAAAATGGTGCAACCACTATGGAAGGTAGGATGGCACTTTCTCAAAAAGTTGCAAATAGAAATACATTTGACCCAGCAATTCCACTACTGGGAATATACCGCAAAGAGACCTTAACTGCCACCCAAGCTGATATATAAACACCCATGTTTATCACGGCTTTGTTCACAATAGCAAAGTGTTGGAAACAACCAAAGTGCCCATCAACAAACGAATGGATAGAGAATCTGTGGTATATTCACACAGTAGAATACTACGCTGCATTGAAAAACAAGGAACTCATGAAATATTATGCAAAATGAGTGACTCTGCTGATCTTCTCTGTATCGTTCCAATTTTAGTATATGTGCTGCCGAAGCGAACACCAAAATGAGTGACTCTGGAGGACATTATGCTGAGTGAAATAGCTCAGTCACAAAAGGACAAATACTGCATAGTGCCACTGTTGTAAAATGAGACTGACGTCAGGGTTGGGGGGAGACTGAAAAAGAGGGGATAAATAATGTATACTGCATTGAAACAGATAAGGGAGAAAACTGTTTAAAAGAGATATGTGATTGGGTATTATTGTCATGACAGGAGTCCAGAATGAAGGCTGCAGAATGGAGTGGACTTGGGGGGAGGGATTGTGTAAGAAACTGGAGGGAGGGGTGGACAGGGAGAGAAGTGCAACTATGAATGAATGGCAATCCAGTCTGTAAATTTTCATTAAAATGAATAATAATAAAAAGGAAAACAAAATACAAGCTTGCACCAGTCTTGCTGTTTACAAAGTAGACCCGCCTCATCGTCATGCATGTATAGATTTGGAGGCATCTGAACACCGCCCACATGGCAGGGCAGGCCTGTAAGTCAGTGCAGTGTTGACTGAGGTGGCTGTAAACAGGAGAGCAGCTCCCAACCCCCAACACTGGCAGCTCTGCACCTGGAGGAAGAGAAGGTGGGTTGTGACACATATTACCTGGTGAAACATGGCTCACATTTGCAGACACAGGTGTGAAAGGCAGCTCTCTCTGTGGATACAAACAAACCCAGGGGTGTAGCTCAGTAGTAATTATATAAAATACAATGTCTATGAATACTTGTATAAAACACAGTGTACATGAATGAATGAAACCGGGTGTATATCAATGATTGTCTAATACACAATGTATGAGGAAAATATACGAATCAGGTCTTCCTGGTAGACATCATTTGTGATCACTCCAAGCTCTTCTGGCAAATAGGAGCTTTTCTAAGACTTCTGTCTTCAAGTCACATGTTCCTCTAGCAAACGAGAGGAGCCCCAGGAGCCAGCCAAAGGCGGAGTGGGGTAAATGCTGGGCTGCTGCCTCAGACCAGCCTTTCTGCGTGAGAAAGATGAGTCAGTGGGCTCCTCTAAAGATTTACAGCCTGGGCCGGAGCCGCAGTAGACCCCAGGGCAGTGGGTTCATTTCTGGGAACCAGTTAAGGAGCCCTGCTGATGTAGTGGTTAAGGTATTGAACTGATAGGCAGAAGACAGTTAACCCAGCAACTGTTCCATGAGAGGGCGATGTAGCATCTCAAGTCAAATATGACTCATGGAGACCCTATGAGCAATGCATCTGAACCCTGTCCTAGCCTGTGCCATCCTCACAATCTCTGACACATTTGAACCAGTTGCTTCTGTCACTGTGTCAGTCCACCTGGTTGAGGGTCTTCTCTTTCACCGTCCCTCCACCTTCCCAAGCATGATGTCCCTCTCCAAGGAAGAGCCTTTTTATAGCAACATGCCCAAAGTATGTGAGATGAAGCTTTCTCAAGCTTGCCTCCAAACATCACTCTGGCTGCACATGCTTATGCAGGAAGGCTGTGTCCTACTCACATGATATTTAGAATGCATATTCTTTTCTCTATGCATAGTTTATTAGGCATATTTTTCTTGAAGATACAGATCTTCTGTTAAAACAGAAGCTTTTGGAAGTTGTTCTAAATCATTCTACTCATATGCAAATTCAAGTCTGAAGTTGAGGAAAATTAAATCTCCACGGGAACCAAGATTTGACCTTACGTCTGTCCCACTCGAATTTCAAAACCATCTCAGGAACAGGTTTGAGGCCTTGAGCACCAGTGAGCGT